GTTCGGTTACGAACGGTTTGGTGACCGAACATGTTCGGTTACGAACGGTTTGGTGACCGAACATGTTCGGTAACAAACCGTTCGGTGCCGATCAGCGATTCCTAGTTTGGGATTGTTGCATGCCTAATTAGGATCCTGTCGGATTTTCCAGGCTATCTCAATAATTTTTTCCGACTCATTTTCGGTACGGACTCACCCAAAACAAACCAGAAACCGAGACAAAGTAATCAAACACACACAAAACTATCAGACTCTGAATATTATGCGACCGCAAATACAATAATACTCGGTCCCAGACAGGTATGCACCAAGTTCAAGTCCGACCGGGTGACTGGATACCAGTCCGACTAGTTGTAAACTTGATTAGTTTATCATTTACTATCTTTTTATTAACTCGTACTATAATACGGTAATATACTACAACTATCTGATTGCCACATATGTATCTTAAAATAAGAACAGAAATTTGTGCTTAATTCATTCATATCAGATTATATGTCCTTCAAATGCTACTGAGTTCAAAGATTAAACGAAATTTTAATGTTTATTTTCTGATCTGTTATGTCCCATACATGTCAGCATCCTTTAAAAAACCTTTGTTTCCTTATAAAGTTAGATTTGGCAATATCCATTTTTAACAAATCTCCTCAAGATGTCTTTACTCTCGTGGTAAAATTGAATATTGCAGTATATTCTATGCCCAGTCATATTTAACTATAGTTTATATCAATGAGAAAATTGAATGAACAAGTCGAGTAAGATACCACGATGAGCATTCTGTATTCATAAAAACCAAACTATTCATTGCATATTAACAGAGACATTGAATTGATTTACAATGATTTAGTTAAAGGATGTTGACATGTATGGAACATAACAGATCAGAAAATAAACATTAAAATTTCGTTTAATCTTTGAACTCAGTAGCATTTGAAGGACATATAATCTGATATGAATGAATTAATCACAAATTTCTGTTCTTATTTTAAGATACATATGTGGCAATCAGATAGTTGTAGTATATTACCATAGATGTCATAATACCGATACATTGGGTATCCAGAGCTAAACGTCCGGATATCCCATAGAGTAATCAACTAAAGTCATCATGCTTCTTACGTTATGGAGTAATGACTTCATTATCCTTTCAATAAATTATATGTTCTAAAAGTTGAGGAATTTGAGTGCATTTGGGGTGACGAGGTGATTACCCCAAATGATGAAGTATATACTATAAAAGTCATAAAGTGGCAAATTTAAAACTGGTACCAGTTTTCAAACTAGTGTGGCAAAATTGTTAACATTTTAAACCATAAAAAATTTTCAAAACTTTACAGGAATTAATGGCTATCAGAAATTTAAATGAATCATAATCCGCATTGAGTATTTTTTAAGATCTTACCATTTAAAATTAAGCAGAAATTCAGAAATCAGAAATCTACTACCTTCTTCATCGAAATATAACAAGAAAATCAGAAATCAGAAATTTACTTTTGCATAAGATTTTTAAGAATTCTGATAAATGAACACACGAGACATTAATTTCGATCTATCCATTTTAAAGAACCTCAGAAAAGCAGCAATTAGAAATTTACTTTTATTCAATTGTTCTGGTATTCCCTTCAATGAGGGTGGGAGTGGAAAGGGTAGTCGGAAAGCATGGTCCCGCGCATGAGTTGCCTAATTCGAATTCGAATCTTGAGGGTGTGAAAGTGAGGGTGATGCTGAGGTACATCGAATGATGGTTATAAACGAAAAAAAACTTTGGCTTCTGGGCTACTTTAACATGGGTGAGGTACAATTCGAATTACAATAATTATAAAGAAAAATAAAAACTTTGGCTTTGGCTTCAGGTATTGAAGCTCCTTGAGTTTATTGAAAATTTGATTTATTTTCGAACTCGAATTAGGCATCCACTGGTCCTACGTGATGATAAGGGTATAAAATAACCAGCGTGAGCAGTCGAATAGTTTAGTAGTTGAATATTTATATTCAACTTTCAAGTTTGTCGCTATTGGATGTTCTTTAAAACTCATGGATAGAAATGAATATCTCATGTGTTCATTTATGATAATTCGTAGAAATTTTATGAAAAAGTAAATCTCTGATTTCTGCTTTTCTGGTGATAGATTATAAATACAGTTTGAATAGATTTCGGGTTTCTGCTTTTCTAATCGTTTTCATAGATTCATTTCTGAAAAACAGAAATCAGAAATCAGAAGTTTCGTCAAAACACAAGTGCACAAGTGAGAGTGCTACGGAATCAAAACCAAACGGCACAGTATCAAGGGAGGGTGCCACAAGATCGAAACTGATGCGCGTAATAGTGAATGAGGATCCCATGGAGGTAGCCATAAAAATCACAGCGCAAAGTAACGATGCCCCCAAATCTCGCCATAAGACATCGTTATAGCTTCAGATGCGCGAAGCCATTCCTCTAAAGATAATTCAGCGAATCTACTCGAATTCTGCCGCCTCTAGAATATATCCTTTGTATGTTTGGGTAATTACCTGGTTACCCCAAATGCACTCAAATTTCTCAACTTTCAGAATATATAGAACATTGAGAGGGTAATGAAGTCAATACTCCTTAGCATAAGATGCGTTTTATGGTGATGAATTCACTTTAGTTGATCACTCTGTAGGGTATCCCGTCGTTTAGTTTCGACACCCGGTGTAACGGTATTATGACACCACTCTATATTACCGTATTATAATACGAGTTACTAGAAAGACAATAAATGATTAACTAATTAAGTTTACAACCAGTCGGACTGGGCACCCAGTCGGACTTGGTATCCAGTCAGACTGGTACCCGGTCGGACTGGATACCAAGTCCGACTGTACTGGTGCATGTATAATCAACAACAACGAATAAAAATATTAGTATCTATCCAGAAGTAATCAACGAAACATTCGAAAATCTTTTCATTGATCAAGAGTTAACTTTTCTTTCGTCATCAGGTAATATAAAATGTTTTCATATACGAGTCTACATTCACATCTTGTTATTTTTTTCTATCTCACTATTTAGAGGGACCAAATTATATACGAAGCAATCAAAGTTTTCTTTATCGAAAGAACAAAAATCAACGAAAAACTCAAGAGAAACTTAGTGCAATCGTAGAAAAGCTTACATCTGTACTTCAGTATCGTTTTCATATACCACCTAAATCATCAATTATTCAACAATTATCTAATCATTTGGAAAGAATCTTTTATCAACAGTACACAACTTCGTTATCTTATCTCGATATCTATCGTATTCGAAAAGATATTAAATTAGTTCATTCTATTAAACGGAAACTAAGGAAAGCTCATTGCATTCTTCGTATGAGTGATAAGAGTGGTGTTTTTCGCATTGGTCGAACAATTGATTATAATAAAAAAGTTGAAAAGTATCAAAAAGACACGGATGCTTACATTGAATTATCATCCAATCCATTGATGGAAACGTTTGAGAAAGTAGTTCGTTTATTAAATGATTTACATACTAAACGACAAATTACTGCAAGGCAACACAAAAGAATGATGCCCGATAAAAAGAAAATCAAATTGGCTTACTTATATTTTATACCAAAACCACACAAAGTAATTTTTTTATTTAAAGGATTTTTGTTTAGTATATCACATATAATGGTATGTTTGCTAGAAAGGTACTCCTCTACAATCCATTGTTTCTGGTACAAATGGTCCAATAACTGGAATATTGAAAATGTTAGATGAATTACACCATTATTTGATCAATATGTGAAACAAACAACAATTATCAATGGTGTAGATCTTATTCATCGCCTCGACAAATATGTTCGTTTAGGTCTCTTAAAACTCACTACTCATTTATGCACATTTGATATTACCAATCTCTATACCATGTTACCATCAGAAAAATCAATAGCTATTCTCAAACGATTTCTTCTTCAACATAATCATACACATGTCAAAGGAATGACTATTGATGCTATCGAAAGTCTAGCTCGAATTGTCCTCACTAAAAATGTTTTCATCTATAATGATAAGTATTATCGACAAATTGAAGGTGGTGCAATGGGATCACCATTCACTCTAACATTAGCGAATATCTTTATGTGGGACTGGGAACAAAATTTAGTTGAAAATTAATAGAGTTCAAGTGAACTATATGGTCGATAAGTGTCATTTTTACAGGGAAAGTTTCATTTTCTGCCTTCATTTCTTCTTTGTCCATAGATATATTGATGATATCTTCTTAACGTCGAATGATTCAATTGAAACACTAAAACAAATGTTAGAAGATGCCAACGAGAAACATCCAAATATCGCACTAACCTATGAAATTGGTAATCGTATTTCTTTTGTTGATCTACAAATAAAAAATCAAGAAGAAAACTTAATTACACCTGTCCATCATAAAGAAGCAGCTGAACCTTATGTTGTACCATTCAAATCTGATCATCCACGACATATATTTGAAAACATTATCAGAACTATTCTTCTTCGAGCTGTAAGATATTGTTCCACATTAGAAGAATTCAATCATGAACGTCGGGCGATTAAGTTAATGCTACTCTACAACGGGTAATCTATATGTAAATATTCTACTTAATTCTAAATCTCGTTTTCTTAAACATTTCATAGGTATCCAGTCAGATATATCTAGCGACACTTTCAAAAAAATTTTCATCAAAATTCCTTGACATCAACATCTATTCTACCAATGATTCATAACGAAAACCAATATTTACTAGTGCGTCAACAACTACTTACTCAACCTACCACCAGTGAACATGCTCAAGCATCAAGAATAGCTAGTCATATGGATCGTAATAATCGCACATCAACCACGGATCCATTAATACAACCGAAATTACTAAAAGCACAACAGAAGAAAAATTTATCAGCTGTTATACTTATTCATTACACTCATGAACAACGTTTCGCATACTACAAATCAAAAATACATCAGACATGGGACAATATATTTCTACATACATCAGTGTTGGATAGTCAACTGACAGTTGGAACTCGAAACAGACCTAACCTCACCAAAGAACTAGTTCGCCGGTGTCCATACCAACCCAAAACAAAACTAATCTCAAAACAATTACAATCAACATTAATAAACTAATTCCCACTGACAAATAATAAACCAAAAACATTTCCCAAACAAATTGCTCCCTTTGAGCTAAAGATTCTAAAATGTGAACAATTTACTTTTCTATAGCAGCAGCATAAATAAATCAATAGCAATAAAATTAGTCTTCCAGGAATGTTTTCCATTTCTTTACTACTGACAGTTGTTAAATAACTACACAGAGGTAGAACTACCTGATGAAGACCCTTAACAAGGTCGAAATCTAGATCGTAGTATGCTGTACTCACCCTTTCACATACAGACATAAGATAATTTGAGTGAAGTTCAGATGATAAACTATATCAGACCTTATATTTTTTCACTATCAAAAAATGGCTGCGCTAAATTATGCCGTCTTTATTAATAGCGTCTAAATCTTTACAGAAGGACAAAAATAAGAGCCATGGGCGTTGGGGCTAGAGACCTGCGGAGTCACACTTTTTGGACTCCGACTCTGACTTCAGAGATTTTTTTTTCAAACGACTCTGATTCCGACTCTGAAAATTTTCTTTCAAATGACTCCAACGCCGACTCCGGAAAACTCCGAAAATTTTTCTTCGGTCAAATTAGTGAAAACTTCGGCCTATGGAGGTATAATGCAATTTGCGTTTAGTGTACTGTCACGTATCAAATCTGATTCAGTTAGCATTGTAAGTGAATAAGCAGACATGTTCAATGTAAGACAGAAAAAACAGAGCTGAGTGTATTTTGAAATTTTCTTGTCTATTAAATATATTTGTAGTGACTGCAGAACTCTTTTCACGAAAATAAGTTCTAAATTTAATTAGAAAAGAAGACGATTGTATTTTTTCTGTAAAAAGACTTCGTTTTTGACTCTGTCGGAGTCAGAGTCGAAGTTCGGAGTCCATTGCAGGTTTCTAGCGGGGGCGCCTCAAAACTAGGTAAGGCTCATAGTGCACTATGAGCAAGAAAACATGTTTTCTTCTCGTTAAACTTTTATCGAAACATCAAGAAAGTCTCTCCTTTAGCTTCAACAAATAAACAAAATTAATGGATAAAAATTAGTTATTAGTTTAAAGAATATCAAAGAATCGTTTTCTGTGTTCGTTCTTGCAACAGATATTACCAAAAGTGCAGACTGTTCCAAGGTGGCCAAGATTGGGGGTGAAAAACTTTTTGCATCAGATAAGCGTGATTTTGGTTGTGTCCAGCCAACTTTCGATGCAAACAAATCGGGCTTCGAGAAAAGTGCATAAAAAAAAGGGTTGCGCCGGATTTTATAGAATTATAGGGTGTCAAGGTTTCGCTATTGCCTGTTAGGCTCACATTGACCTTGTTGCCACGTCGAAAGAGAAAAAGCATTAACGAGAGAGGTAGTGATTTCATATTTGTCGTCTAAACAATCTTCTTTCGCTTCCATTAAGAACAGCGTGGTCTCCTTTCAAGGTAACATTCTGTAACGATGAATAAGCAAAATATTGAAAGAGAACAATATTCGCGTTCGGTCTATGGTGACATTAGACAAATGAGAAATAAAATGCATATCTTATGAGCGAGTTGTACAGGTCGAATGGAGAAAGAGAGAAATATATATATAGCTGAATACTTCACGTCTCTGCGCACACGTCACTGACAGTATGCAAAAAAGCGAAGGTAAATATCTATTCAATGTTTTTTTTTTCAGTTGACTTACTATTATTTTTTCAACCCTCTAAAAAGATAGGTTTAGTACAGAACTTTGAAAGTTTCGTGTTTTCGCGCCGAACAATTTTAAGTTCCGTATAAAAATATGGTTTCGTACTTTTCCTGCAGAACCTTTTCAAATTCATCAGAATTCATGACGTTT